TGGGGGTAGTATACAGAAAACAAGTCCTTTTCTTTGTGGAGACAGGGGATATTTTTGTCATTTGACCTCTACTTTGAAATTCAATGATGTTAAATAAAAGTGGTATTTTATTTCGGGGGTTTTCCCTTAAAACCACCTTAAAAACAGGGTAAGCATATAAAAACCACAAATGAATGTTTTATTTATACAAAAATTCATCTTTAAAGTGGGTTTATGTTATAATCAACTACCTCTCAGTCAAAAGTTTGACTAAAAATCCAAAAATACTCTTAAAACCTTACATTCAAGGCACATGACTCATTTTTCAATGATAGGTCTAGTTAGGACGCAAGTTACGTAGATTGAACATGAATTTTTTTTTAAGGTTATTTTTAGTTTTTTAGAGAACATTTTGCTAGGGGGTGGTTGATTGCAACACAAACCTATTTTAAAGTAGTTAATGTATAAGTAGATATTCAAAAATGGCCTCCATGTAATTATCCATGTTTAAGGTGGTTTCTAGTACCCAAAAAAAAACTTAATTTTTCTATCTAAGAATGAAGGGCAGAATTATTAAATATTCAAATTTGGGTTGTATATTTGCAGTGAGAGAGAGTTCGGGTGTAGATGTAGACAGGCTTTTCTCTTCTCCTTCATATTCTCACTTTTTTAGTATTTTTCTGTGTAAATTTCATATAAACCCTCTTAAATTTGACCCTGATTAGATAGTCCTCTGAACTTTAAAAATGTCATAAACCCCTTAACTTTGGCATTATTTTGAATTACAACATAAATCTTAAAAATGTCACTCAACTCCCTTCAATTTGGGGAGTTTATGAAAAAGCCATAAATGTTTAAATTTGTTGAACTAATCCCCTTGACGCTCTGCTAATGGATTGATAAAAAGACCAAAATGTTCTTTTATAAATATAAATAATAATTATTAAATTAAACTAACAAGTGTTAAATTAATTAAACATTTAACATAATTTAAGAGTTAACGTGAGAATTACATTTAGAATTATTAAAAAGAACATTAAAGCTTTTTTCCATTAGGAGAATCTTGGTCATTTGGACACATGATTTCAAGTGCATAGTTAGATCTAACAGTGTTACTTAGGGGGTCATCTAATTATATACAAAACTTAAGGGTGCAAAGTGACATTTTTAGATTTTAGTGGCGTATCTTAAAATAAGCCAAACTTAAGGAGGACTTGATATTTTTAAAGTTCAAGGTCTCCGAAATGGCCAAATCATGAGGGCGTTTTTGTGAATTTCACAGTTAACGTTTCATTAGCTTCTCTCAACGCCCCTCGTCTTGCTCTTCACGTTCAGAGAGCTTACTGAGATAAGCGTCTCTGTTCTCCATCTACAGCTTATTTTGCTTAGAATATTCTCTATATCTGACTCTTTCAACAAAACTTTCGTTTGAAATTTTCTTTTTCAATCATTGGAATAATGCTCCAAGACTCTCTGAGATCAGCTGTCCACAGGTCTCTAACTAAGCCTGTAGCAGACGGCTGCCAGAATGCGAACCAGACAGCTACACGCAGGACAAACACACACTCCAAAACCTCTAATTCTGTTGAGCCATTAAAGAATCACTCAAAGAGAGAAGAGAAGTCCATGGAGCGTAGAAACAAGAGCGTTGGTCCACTGAAGGGTTCTCTTGATCTTGAAGAGTCGCTGGCAATTCTTTCGAAGGCTCAAGAAACTTCAAAGAGGATGTCTCGCTTACTTGATGCGTCAGAGAGTATAAATCTTAGGAGATGTGGATTTCAGGAGCAAAGGCATTCAATTGATGGGTCTTTCAGAGACTCCCTGTTTAAATTGGAACAGAGATCAGAGTTTGTGGAAGAAGAGATTGGTAGGATTAAAGAGAGGACGATGAACTCGAGGGCAAACGGATTTCAGAAGCCTAGATTTTCATCTGATGGATCCTCGATCGAAGAAGTAATAAGATCCCAGAGGTATGGAGTGCAAGAACCGAGATTTTCAGTTTCTGGATCTTCAAGAGATGCCATTGAAGAGCTGAGGAAAGTGATCAGAGAAAGCCTGCATCAGCAAAATTTACTGTCAAGATCACCTGAAGATGATAGAGCCTACGAGTGCAATAGATTCGAGAGATTCAAGGGTAATTTATCAAATCCCATTTGTGAGCCTAAGAAAGCTAAAGGTTCAAATCTCGTAGCTAAGCTTATGGGATTAGAGGAGGTCTCTTCACAAACATCTCATCCCATAAAAATGGAAGAAAAGAAAAAGAGCTTCAATGTGCAAAGACCCCCTTTTGATATGGAGAGAAGACAAGCAATAAAGAAAAAGGCAAATCAAAAGCGAAAGTCGCTGCAGGAGGTCATAGAAGCAATGCAGTTCAAAGGGGTACTTAAAGATCCTCGAATCGATATGCCCAAGATAATACCATATCGATTTGATGATAAACAACTGGACATGAATTATGAGTCGCCGCCGATTGTGATCGTAAAGCCCTTGTATTTGCCACAATGGGAGAGAGGAGAAGCATATAGAAAGGTTTTGGTGAATAAGTACTCTAGGGATGAAGAGAATCAATCTTTTGATCATTTTCAAGAGAAGGAAGTTTATGATCATGGGCAAATGTTATTCAAATCATTCAATCGAAAAGAGGAGAGGAGCATTGAGAAGCCTAAAGTGGATTTCTCTAGTGTATCTCACAAACAGCTAAAGAAAGAGGCTTCAAAGATGAGAAAGAAAGTGAATGACAAGCCTAATGAAACAAAAGGAGAGGAGAAAAAAGATGTAAGAGCCAAAAGAATGCCTATATCTCAGTCGAACAGAATTTATGCAGATCATGAAAAGCCTGATAGAAGAGTATCAGCAGCGAAGGATAAAGTTTCTTTGATAAAAGCTGAGTCGAAAACTTCTGCTAATCCAGTGAAGGAGAAGAAGACTCCAAGAGCAAAATCAGATAGAAAACCCTCTACTATCAAGGTGATTGCTTTACAAGCATAAATCTACTAAAATTGTTTGCCTGTTATATCTATTTATATCTGGTCAATTGGCACTCTTATCTCGTAACGTTGCCTAACACATTGCAATTCCATTAGCCAATAATATTCAAGTTTTTGATGAATTAATCCAGGAGGTTCCATAAACCCTATAAATTTTTGGCGAAATATATGTATGCATGACATTTGACATAATTTATATTCTTTTATAGACAAATAATAAGAACTGCAAAGATGGAAAAGAAACCAATCCTGTGCATAAAATGGACACATTTTCAGAAGCCGAAAGTTTCCCTGCTGATAAAATCCTCCAAGAAATCGGGAAGAAAGGAGAAACTTGCAAGAAAGGTACACTATTAAAATTTCAAACATAGATTTAAAACTCATGATTCATTTCTCTTTTCATATTTTCCCTCTGAAATTTAATCGTCTTAAACTCCGCATCGACCGCAGATGAAGCACAAGAAAACCCTGAAGTAACAAAAGAAGTAATCCATCTTGATGATACAAAGCCTGTAATAGTTGAAGATGACCTTATGCGTCTACTCCTGAGTAGCCGATCTTTCCTCACCGAAGCAAAAGAACTCTATGGAGTTATTTCTCACCAACCGATACATCATCAAAGAAAAGGCCTAAGTGAAGATGTGATGAGAAATGCTATGCTCTACTTAGACATTGGGAAGGAGATAATGTCACGCAAATTCCACAAGCATGAGCTTTCGGTACATCCATTGACAGAATCATTTACATTGTTCGAGTTAGCTGAGGAAATCAGTAGCAAGATAAGGGTATTGACAGGTTTTATCAAGGTTGATCATAGTAGTATTGCTTCTGATGATATTAGTAATGTAAGGTTGGAGAGGGATCTAAGATGCAAGGATATGTTGATGAATTCAATGTGGGATATTGGATGGATGAGTTGGGCATATCCTGAAGATACAAGGGACATTGTATGTGATGTGGAGGAGAGTATCTTGTCTTGGCTCATGGAAGAGGTTGCCTTAGATTTGGTTTATTAGAGGAGAGGATGAATTATGAATAGTGTGTTATGGATATCTTCTAACATCTATTAATTGAGATATATTTATGCATTCCTTCGGGAATAGATGTTGTGTTTGGATAAAAATAATACTATAATTTAGTACATACACAGAGTATTAATTTGAGAGTTTATGTAACATTGGATTAATCAGACGGAGTTTTTTAAACTAAAGACACTAAGATTTTTCTTAGAGAGTGTTCGCAATCATGGTGTTTTCTTTGTTCTTCTGATGTTTTTGCCAAAATAAAAACACAACATGTTTGGATACCATTGTGTTGTCATGAAAAAACAGAACACTTATGGATAAAAAAGCAAAAATAAAACACTTATCTGAAAACATCAAAAAGATGTTTTGACTTTTGTGTTTTGAGTTTTGGAGATGTTTTGAGTTTAGTAATATAAACTTTTATATATTATAATTAATTTAACATATTAATCATTCTTAATATAGTATATTACAAAATACTATTAACTAATATAATATATTTAATTATTATAATATAACATTATAACGCTGGTGAATTGTTTAATACTATTTAATTAATTTAATATATATTATTATACTTATATTATGTTATATTATATTAATATATATATTATGTTATATTATTTATAATATAATACGTTATATTTTATAAAATGCAATATGATATATTTTTATTGTATAATATAGTGTAATGCAATATTTTATTAAATTTCATGTAAAATATTATAAAACATTTGATGATATATTGTAATAATTAATATAATATAATATGTTGTAATTTATTACTACAAAACTAGTAATATATTAATTATTGCATTGTAATTAATTTTATCAATAATATATTTTATATTCTAATTATATATATAGCATAATAGATTATATCACAATTTCTTACTACAAAACTATTAATATATTATTTAATATTATATCGTAGGTTATGTAATTAATTTTTTATTATATTTATTCTAATATACCACTTTATTTTAATATATTATAACTAATCTATTGTCTTATAATAAAATGTTATTAATCTAATTTATTATACTATACTGTAATAAACTGTATGATAATATATTGTAATAAATAATGTAGTATATAGTATTATAATATAATATAATATAATATAGTAATATATATTATAACTGATATAACATATTAAAATATATTATGAAATATTATATTTAGTTAATGTAATATATTTAATTTTTATGTAATTTAATATTTTGTGTATTAATAGAACGATATAATATAATACAATTGGCATAATATAATATATTATAATATACTTGTCATAATATACTATCAACATTTTCAATATGTTATAAAATTATTTTATATAATAATATAAAATAATTTTATAATATATGTGCTGAAGAGGTGAAACTACCTTTGACAATACGCACTCACGATGGTGTTTTTGAGATACTTTTGGAGAAAAAACACAATGGTGTTGTGTTTTTTAAGAAAAAACACCACAAAAGATCACCACAGTATCCAAACACTGAGTACCCTAGAGAGGGGTGAATAGGGTAATTGCTAATCTAATCTAATTTAGATGCCAAATTAAAACTTATTAACTAATATGCTAGCAATGATGATATAAATAATAATATAAGTAATGTTATATAATGAAACAATAAGTGATATAAACAACAATCACAATATCAAAAGAGAAATAGTGGACAAATGACAAATGCAAACATAAGGATATGATCACGGAGTTCGGTCAACCCTCGATCTACGTCTCCGCTCCTCACCTTGAGCAGAATCTCCACTATCTCTTCATAAATCACTACACAATCGATTTTCAAAGTTCACCAAAAACTTTTATAATCCACACGTTATCAATATCACAATACACTCCTCTAAGTGTTGGCAACCGTATTACCTTCCTCAAATGCTTGGAATTACTAACTCTCCTTAGACTTTTACAACCAAGTACTTCCTCTTAGAATTAACCCCTGTCTCTCCTAACCACTCCTCTAAATGTCCTTGTGTATTACAACGTTTTTATCGATAAGCTCAAGTAAATGATTTTGTTCTCTAATACAAATGAGAACGAAAATGAAAGATCACTCAATTGTAACACTCTCACAACCCAAACTATACAATATGTAAAATACTAAAGCTCAAGTGGTTGTGTGTGAAAGAAATGAGTAAAACACAATCAAAGATAAACACAAATCAATCTAGCATAAATGTAAAAATCAAAATATGAGATTAGCTAGAAGAAGGAGTTTAGAAAACTTCTCCAAAAACAAGAGAGGTAGAGATTTAAGGTTGAAATCCTCAAGAACAATGTTGCAATCCTTCACATAAACAAACACACTTAATTTTTCTTAAAAACTCTTTAAAAAAACTTGTAAAACTCTTTTATAAACTTCCTTAATAGAACAAATGAATCAAGATGGCTATTTATAGCATCTCTAAAGAAAACAAAGCAATCAGCCAAAAACTAGCTGTTACTGGCAAAATTACTGTTGATCGGTCGACTGATCTTTTGGATCAGTCGACTGATAGACTGTAAAAACAGAAGCTGGAAAATCACACTGGTAGGTCGACTTATGGAAAAAAATCGGTCGACTTATAACACTATTCACAGAAACCTGAAATTTTAAAAAGCTAATTTTCTAAATTCAATTTAAAATAGTAAATCAACTCTAAAAATAGTAAAACTTTAGAAAACATTTATACACATGAAGATAAACATGTTTGAGAAGAAATTTCTAAAATATCACTTCGTATTTGTGAAAACTCACTGACAGAAAAATAGATATTCTAGTTTCTAAAATTTCTTGAAGAGTTGATTTTGTAAATTTGATTTAAAATAGTAAATTAACTCCAAAAATAATAAAACTTGGGAATATGTTTATATATCTGAAAATAAACATATTATAAAAAGAATTTCCAAAATATCATTTCCCAAGAGTGAAAAACATAGTGTTTTGCAAAATGGTCAAAAATGCGAGTTTGTTAAATACTTGATTTTGATGAAATTTCTTCAAACAAGTTTTGAGATACTTTTAAATAGATTAATAGAGTTAAGAAAAGATATAAAATAGTGTCGTTAAGTCTATAATCTGAAAATAATGATAAATCAAAACAAATATGTGTGTGTAGTTTGAGTTTTTAAGCATAACACATAAAGTAAACACCTAAACTAAAACCACTATACCAAGCAATATGATCTTCATTAAGTTCGATCTTGGTAGCAGGGATGAAGCGATAATGTTGTTGACTTGAATTGCGATGGCTTCATTCTGATTTTCTTCCATCCTCCAATGGTTATGATCATGTAGGCGCAAGTCTAACCAACCTCCAATATAGGATCTTTGTGTAGGATACCTAACAATCAAATGCAAACACTTGACAACCGATGTTAGGAATTGTTTGTTAATCATCAAAACTAGATTAGACAATAGGCTCATAATCATGAGACCTAACAAACACACCCTTAAGAATAATTCTTGTGGGGTAGATGTTTATGTATCTGAACGTATTCAACCACTTGTCTCCCTTTCCCTTTTTTTCCCTTCTAGTTTTTATTTTGTTTAACATGTGGAACAAGACATTGTTGTTACATTTTTCCTTAATAATTCTGACCTGCTCTCACTCGAAAGAGACGACCTGCTCATCTTAGCTGCGATCCGTCACACACCTCATAGCAATGCCCCATGTTGAGAATCTAATGGACTTTATATCCCGGAAAAATACTTAAACATGTGGAACAAGACATTGTTCTTACATTTCCTTAATAATTTTGACCTGCTCTCACTCGAAAAAGACGACCTGCTCATCTTAGCTGTGATCCGTCACACACCTCAGAGCAGTGCCCCCATGTTGAGAATCTAATAGACTTTATATCCCGAAAAAATACTTTAACTTTTAGGGTTTCACAAAAAAAACCTTTAACTTTATGCTGAAATAATTAAAATAAACAAATAACAGATCAAACAAGAAGATTTCACGTGGTTTGACAATGCACCTAGCATCCACAGAAAAAGGGAGGGATTTACTTGAAGAAGAAGAGTACATAAACACTTTCCTCTCATTATCACCTCACATAAGTAATCACTTCGGGGTTCTTGTAAATCCTCAAAAAATAATAACATTTCTCTTATAAATCCTCACAGGAGTAATCTCCATTTCTTCGTCTTTTCCCTCATCTTCTTGACCCTTTTTTCCTCCTATTATAATGAACGTCTCAAGGGGTTGTGGGGTCAAAATTGTCTACCTAAATTAGTTGCATATAAGTGCATCAATTAAGATAGATAACTTTATCTTGTATATGGATCCCGTCAAATTCACCCTACAGGAGAGAGGGTTTTATTTTTATGTCAAATGATGGTTTCTAATGGACTGAAGAGTCTATTGTTAATTACCATTACTGATGAAAGGAACCTTCGATTAAGAGTCAATAAAAGTCATCAAAAACAAGAGAAAACATGCAAAGCAAAAAATACAAAACATGCAATGTAAAAAATATAATAACTTATTATTATTTCTTTAAATGATCATATACATGGCTTAACCAAGGGCATACCCTTAGTGTATAGATTTTCATGTAAAATCCTAGACTAAAGATGTGGTTATTGAAATTTGGTTTTGGGTTTGACTTGGAGGCCTGAAATGGGACTTTGATTTTTGAACCTAGTTTAGCGACGTGGAGGTTAAATTTAGAATTCAGCCTAGTTTAATAACGTACAGGTCGAATTTCGAATGTGCTCTAGTTTAACACTATAGTGCTCGAAATTTGAATTTGCTCTAGATTAATGACGTAGTGGTCGGATCTAAAATTTGGTCTAGATTGCGTACTAATTTAACGACTTAGAGGTCAGATTTAGAATTAGCTCCAGTTTAAAGATGTAGGGGGTCAAGGTTGGTATTTGCTAGTTTGATGACTTAAGAGTCAATTTTGGTATTTCTATTCAGTTTAACAATGTAGAGCTCTAGTATGATATTTTCCAATTTATGTGGAGTAGAGGTCAAATTTATAATTTATTCCAATTTAATGACGTAGAGGTCAAATTTGATATATTGCTCTAGTTTAACGACATAGTGGATGGATTTGGAAATTACTCCAGTTTAACAATGTAGAGGTCTAATTTAACATTTTGACCAGTTTACTGATGTAGAGATCAAATTTAGAATTTTCTTTAGTTTAT